TTTTAATTTTGCGCCGCCTCCGAAAAGGTTGAAATGTATTTAATACACTACCTAACGAGTAAATAGGTTTCATTCATATCTGTGACGTAATTGTATGATTGAATGAAATAGAAATTATTTTATACTTTTTAGTGCATTTCGAAGTCGGTGTATTTTTTTTCTTAAAAGTATTTTATCTGTACCGTTCATCTCTGTCATCCTATTGTTTTTTTTTTCTTTTTTTTATTTTTAAAAGTGCGAATCCATAGGTACACGACGATAAAGACAGCATCGATACGAGGAAATATCGAAAAGCTCGCTTTTTTCACTCGTTACCACGAATGTACCATAGAATACGAATGCTATTCTCGAAGCAATTAATTTCATACGTTTCCGCGCAGACTCGAATGTAAATGAAACGATTCGATTAAATATTATTTTGTTTCTCGAGCAAAACGGTACATACGAATAAACGAACGTGATTGATCGTATGATTAAACGCATAAAAAACATCTGGTAAAAAACAGCTAGAAGCAATATCGATTACGATGTCGCATACGAATGTACAGGTTGCTCTGTACACCCGCAAGCTCGACTATTCGCGTTTAATTCTCCCGTCGCGTGCACGCTTGCACGAGTTCCAGCGAGTGAAACGTTTACCAAGATCCGTCTGTTGATTCGGCCACGACTAACGCTAATTGTTTCGAACCCTCGCTGAACGATAAAAGTTGCATCGAGGGGATTAGATTTCCCAGTTTTACTAATATTTTACTAATAACGATCGTTATCCACCGAGAAACACAACACGATGAGCCAGTATTCTCGAAGGAAGAAATTTCCAAGTTTCCATCTCGCCTGCGATATACAACGCGTTAAATGTGCTACAGCTATAGCCTCAAAAAGTATATTTTTGCTACGTAAATATTATTCTTTCATATCGGTAAAAATCAGAAAAATATTCGAAGCGGACGAACTTTCTCTTACGTTCGCTCAAAAATTGATCCGCATCGAGTTCGTTTCGAATTGCTTGGAACTGCGTTAGAACGCATAAAAGGAAAACATTTTTTATCCTGAATCGCGAAGCTATCGGTCGCAAAAATGTAACTTTAAAGATGACTGCATATACACATATTCCGCATCCGTGCACATTTTTCCAATCGAATCGGTGGATCTTCGAAACAAATACAAAAGATCGAGATGTTTCAGTTCGGACAAAGAATCGTGGGCTTGCATCCCTGAATAATTTTCACTCGACCTAGTCTCTCGTTGGTGGAAATATTAATCGTGATTCGCGTCTAATAATTCCTGTCGCAACGCTCTTATCCCGCGTTTGCTTCGAAAGAATCGACAACGAACGTTGCTCGAGATACAGAAGCTTATGGAATCGATGAAACGGAAGCGAGACGCCGATAGAAAGTTGCCGATAATCGATAACCTTTGATACAAAGAACAGAAGGTACATTGAAAGGGTGGATGGCGCGAATCGAACGAATATTCTTCAAAGGGAACCAGTCTCGAACAGCTTCACAAAGAAGCGAACTTTTCAATATCTGTCGGTCGCGTCGCGTCGACTCTCGATGGCGATTTTTGGTAGGGAACCCTCGGGAACTGTCGATGATCGGCTGCTCCCTGAACGCGAATTCCAACGGAACCGTGGAAGGGTCACGTAAACTGGCCGGTTGCGAATTGCAGCCGAAATTGCTGAAATTTTACTTCCGCCTCGCCCATGGAAATTGCGAGCTAATGGAATAATAAAATGAGCCGGCAGGGCGGCGCGGCGAAGGGTGGCGCGAACGATGGAAAATGCGAAATCGGTGATCATCGAAATTGTTGCGTGGCACGCGAGCTTGATTATCGAGGCACGTTTAGCCTCGAACACGCTTGTTCGGTGAACAATTTAGAATCGATGGAATCGTGTCGGACGGAAAAAAACACTGTCGAGAGAATATCGAGTGAAATGTTGCTTGTTTCGTTTCTTCGGTACATTGTACACTTTGTTAAACTCGTATACGTGCATTACTTAAAATACCATTTTTACCCTTTTTCAAATATCGCACCTTCCAATAACTATAGACAGTTAATTGACCGTCGTGCAGAATTTCGCTTGTGAAAATATACAGAGATCGGTGTAAAACGTGTTTAATCAATAATGATCTGTTAACGACCGACTCTCGGTCGTCCGTTTCTCCTGTGTTAAACAAAAGACGATCGGTACATTAGCGCGATAATACTTCAAATGTATACATATGTAGAACGCGTAATGCACGCTTACATATGTAAATTTCATCGATATTCGTTATCGAATGACGTTTAAACTGAACCACGCGCGGTATGATCGTTTCGTATATAGAATACAATTTATAGAATACAATTGAAGAAAGATAAACAAATTGAATTGGAATCTCAATCGAATTATTCTAGCATACAATTTAACAGACACAATGTTACGTCGATAACAACAAGTTCGTAATGCCTTTTAATGTATGGTAGATGGTCGTATTATTAGAGTAACTTGCATCGATTTATGAGGATTCAAGTTTCGAGATTAGGTGTAAACGAAATTCGAATTTAAAGTTTCCATAAAATTTGTATCGAGACGAGTATAGTATAGAGGAAGAAAGAACGCGAACCTCCTTGCAGTATTTCTTCGAATCGCCTTCTCGTTCCGCTCGTTCCATTCTTCCTTTCGTTTTCCGCGTTTAAAATATGCATTCCATTTGGCGTTTTTTTCTATATGCTCCTCACCCCTGAAATTCTCAGACTCCCTCTGCAAACGGTGTCTAAAAACGCTCGCTCCAACAATAGCCTGAAACATTTTCTCGATCTTATCAGCGCGATAATGTCACGCGGCTGATACGGCTCGTTGTTGATACCGATTATCGTGCTTGACATCTCGAAGGCTCATAAATCGGTCGCGTGCTCGCGAAGGACCGTTACAGATCCTTGAAGAGAAAATCCGTTCCACTCTCGTAACCGCGAGCACGGTAGCGGTTCTAGTCAGCGAAATAAAAAAAGGGACGATCTAGGTAGTTGTAAGACTACTTGTCAAACGCCGTACTTGACAGTGAACCGATCGTGACTGCATAATCGAATGGAACTCGCGCGGTATGCATTGTTCCAGCCGTTTCGACGTGGCGTCGATTTTTCGCGTAGGCATCGACGAAACCGATGCACACAGGTGCGCGTTTCTTTTCTCGTTTCTGTGTTCCATTTGTTCTACGGAAAAGGTGTACCATGAAATATTCATGAACGGGTTGCCAGATAAAGACGAGAGTTGTCTAAGCATGTTCCACAATTGCAAAATTGTCCGTACGTGTCTTTTCGTGTGGGAACGTCGTTAACCCACCACGGTTTCCACCTTGATTCCTAATGTATGGAATGTACGCTTTTGCTAGATGTTCGATGGGTCTTTCGAGCTTTTGCGGTTACGAACTTTAAATCCTACCCTACTCCTATATGTTGACTGCTTTCTTCGGATCACTGTTTCGAGCTATCGAAAATTTCGATCTTTAACGAATCTCGTCAATTACTTTTCGCCATATTTACCTTGTAGCGTAAACGTATGTCTTTAATAAGAATGCGCGATATTCTTTGAAAATCAAAGATGAATATTTTAGAACAGAATATTTTAAATAAAAGTAAAATTTCGTTTATTCGTTTATATATAATAAGCGTACATGTTTCGGTATAGAAATAGACAGTAACAGAATACAACTACGGTAAAAGTATAAAGTTGCCTTGTAGTCTTGAATTAGCCAGCACGAGGTGTATCTGTCCGAACGCGCTGTTACTACCAGGCAACGCCTCCGGTAACGACTGCCGAGGAAGAAGCACCGATCACTGCTGTTTTGGTAACAGGACCCGCGACGACCGCCGATGCTGCTGGGCCAGCGACGACCGTGGCTGCTGGTGCGGCTAACACTGCCGGAGCTACTAATCCGTTACCTGTCAAGTTCGTTCGATCACCGTACAGTTAATACTTGAACGGTAGCTCGTTTCAATAGGAGTCGGAACTTTGGGAATGTTGAAATTCGGAAGAGCCTGATAATTTTGAAGGAGGAACTTACCGACGATTACGCTGCCGAGACCAGGTTCAGAGACGACGGTGGGTCCGGCAACGGAACCAACAACGGCCGACGGAGCAGCGACCGCTCCGGTTACCAGTTGTCAAACGCCGTACTTGACAGTGAACCGATCGTGACTGCATAATCGAATGGAACTCGCGCGGTATGCATTGTTCCAGCCGTTTCGACGTGGCGTCGATTTTTCGCGTAGGCATCGACGAAACCGATGCACACAGGTGCGCGTTTCTTTTCTCGTTTCTGTGTTCCATTTGTTCTACGGAAAAGGTGTACCATGAAATATTCATGAACGGGTTGCCAGATAAAGACGAGAGTTGTCTAAGCATGTTCCACAATTGCAAAATTGTCCGTACGTGTCTTTTCGTGTGGGAACGTCGTTAACCCACCACGGTTTCCACCTTGATTCCTAATGTATGGAATGTACGCTTTTGCTAGATGTTCGATGGGTCTTTCGAGCTTTTGCGGTTACGAACTTTAAATCCTACCCTACTCCTATATGTTGACTGCTTTCTTCGGATCACTGTTTCGAGCTATCGAAAATTTCGATCTTTAACGAATCTCGTCAATTACTTTTCGCCATATTTACCTTGTAGCGTAAACGTATGTCTTTAATAAGAATGCGCGATATTCTTTGAAAATCAAAGATGAATATTTTAGAACAGAATATTTTAAATAAAAGTAAAATTTCGTTTATTCGTTTATATATAATAAGCGTACATGTTTCGGTATAGAAATAGACAGTAACAGAATACAACTACGGTAAAAGTATAAAGTTGCCTTGTAGTCTTGAATTAGCCAGCACGAGGTGTATCTGTCCGAACGCGCTGTTACTACCAGGCAACGCCTCCGGTAACGACTGCCGAGGAAGAAGCACCGATCACTGCTGTTTTGGTAACAGGACCCGCGACGACCGCCGATGCTGCTGGGCCAGCGACGACCGTGGCTGCTGGTGCGGCTAACACTGCCGGAGCTACTAATCCGTTACCTGTCAAGTTCGTTCGATCACCGTACAGTTAATACTTGAACGGTAGCTCGTTTCAATAGGAGTCGGAACTTTGGGAATGTTGAAATTCGGAAGAGCCTGATAATTTTGAAGGAGGAACTTACCGACGATTACGCTGCCGAGACCAGGTTCAGAGACGACGGTGGGTCCGGCAACGGAACCAACAACGGCCGACGGAGCAGCGACCGCTCCGGTTACCAGTGCGGGTCCAGCTACGGGTCCAGATACTTTGACGGCCCCGGTCGCAGCTCCGGCGACCACCGCTGGTCCAACCTGAGGACCAACGACACCCACTCCACCCACGAGCGGGCTCAGAATGGCGCTGGGGGCTGCCGAGCACACCGACGCGATCGCTACGAAAATTACCTGCACGAGGTAACGTGGTTCAACGGTTCGTTAATCGAAAATTATATTTTTTTATAGATAAAAGTATAATTGAGAGACTCACCAAGAATTTCATGATTGCTACACCGTTGTTCGGTATTACCTTTTATCGGACTAATTGCGAGACTGCCAATTAACCCTGTGATGTCAGCTTTTATACACCGTTCTGACCCTGAATATCCCGCTTTCCCGTCGTTTTTTGCACGAGAAAATGTCACCCGTCGGTCACACCACCTATTTCCATACAGAAGAATTTCTCCGACGCGACTCGACGCGTGTCCGCGTCAGCTATTAAACGCTACGACGGAAAGAACCAACGTAGTTTAGAATTTCGTTATGCTCGAACGTCGAACATGTCAGATTGTTCGCTCGGTATCGTGTCGTTTTCGAGCGATGACATAGTTTAGAAGCGTTAGTGAGCCGAAATCAGTGTAAACGTCCAAGATTATCACGTGTCTTTCTTAATCGAACGTTCTATAGATAAGTTGCATCGTTCGATCCTTACTCGAATCGTTACCGTCCACTGGATAATTAGGTAAAAACCAGCATAACACGAGGTACGTACGATGTAATATACTTTATGCGATCGATGATACGAGTACAGAAGTTTGAAAGTTATAAAGTTACGGAATATCTCGATTGTCGAATACGGTAATTTTCGAATTTCTATCGGTCACAGGTTCGAGGTACGCGTCGCGAATTTGTAGAAAATATAAGACGAAGAAAGCTTCGCGTTAAAATGGTAGGTAAGTTTGAAAAAACTCTACCAGTTCCGATCGTAGTCGAGACGTCGAGTAAACGTTCGTTGACGAGAAACATGCAAATGTTTGCTCGAATAGTAGCAAAGATAAAAGCCATCGAAGCGTACTCTGTTATTCATCTACTTGAATTTCATATTCGGCACGTAAGCAGTGCTCCGCGTTTCCGTTTAATGGTGGTCGTTTCAGCACGGTTGGAAAGCGGCCGATTTAACGACTGGTCGTACTTGTTGCTGTTCGCCTTGCAACGATGGACCGACCGAGAGTTCCTTTGAAATGGTAATGCAGACGAGCACGCCGCTAATAATTTGCCCCGGAGTCCGAAGTCCCGAGTCCTTCGGGATCCGGACGGAAACTCGTGGCTCCGAAAAGGGTTCCGTGGCGCATCTTTGCCGCTGCATTTCCCACAGGACGAACGCGATTGAAAACGGAGATTAAAGGGGCTATGAACGATGCGCGCGGTGCGACGCAGTTGGAGCGGTGCTCGAGAAAGCCGTGAACAAAGCTGCGATGGAAATACTCGGATATCACGGTTCGGTCTGCTTAGTCGACCCTCTGACAGACAGAGAGAATACTCGGCTGATTGGAGCGGCGTTGAAGCAATTTCCTACAATTACCGGCAAAGGTGGACAGGTATCGTCCCATCGTATACATAGAGAACCGAGGGCGATACAATGGATCGTGAAACGAGGAACGACCAACGTCACGGTGTCGACGGCCTTGCGCGCGATAATATCCCAACTAGAACAATAGCCCTACGATCTGTGCCACTTTAATCGTCAAGCAACGTTGACACGGTCCACCAACGGGTTACGTGTCCTCGCTTTGACTCGTTCCCGGTGTGTAATTGGGAGAACATTCACGGGATAGCTTTAATTTAATCCTTTCGTTACGATAGCTCTACGCAACGGTTACGACAATCGATTATCGATAACTTTTTCTTCGAAAAATCTCTCCGCACATTAATTGAGAATTTAACAAAACTAGAATTTGTTCGTTATCGAGCGAACGAAGACTAACACCGTAGCGTTGCGTCGGGATAATCTCGTGCTCGGAACTTTCAGGAACACTATACTCGTTACGGTATTTAGTCTTCTATTCGAATTAACTTCGCGAGCATATTCAGCTAACTTGTTTACCAGAAATTGAAATTCGCGGCACAGCGTTTGCCCGTGAATCTTAATTATTATATTACTTTGTCTTAATTATATCCTTCGGGCATTGTTCGCCGAGTAATAATAATCAACCGTTTTACAGCGTTTTAATGATTGTCAAACTACCTAACAGACGCAAACGATTGCGAGATGCTCTTTACGTGCGTTGTATAAAAAGAGTGAAAAGTTCATTCGCTCGTTTCTGTCGCGATTTATGTTTAAACGACGGCATCGATTCGATGAAACGATGCAGAAAGGTTAAAGGAGCGAATTGCGTAATAATTAATATCGTAATAACAAAACAATTTCCTCTCCAAAGTGGCATGCGTTTATTATAACATATAATATCATATACGAAACATTGTTATGTACACAGAATACATGTAGAAGATAAAACGATGGAGGTACTAGCGGTAAATGAGGGAGATCGTGGCGCGGTCGGTTTAAAAAATGGCAGGCATCGGCGGAGATCAGTCGAGGATGTCGTTGGGGATGGAGGTCCAGCACGGGGTGAATTACCAGTGTCCGTCCGCGCGACAGAGAGAATACTCGGCTGATTGGAGCGGCGTTGAAGCAATTTCCTACAATTACCGGCAAAGGTGGACAGGTATCGTCCCATCGTATACATAGAGAACCGAGGGCGATACAATGGATCGTGAAACGAGGAACGACCAACGTCACGGTGTCGACGGCCTTGCGCGCGATAATATCCCAACTAGAACAATAGCCCTACGATCTGTGCCACTTTAATCGTCAAGCAACGTTGACACGGTCCACCAACGGGTTACGTGTCCTCGCTTTGACTCGTTCCCGGTGTGTAATTGGGAGAACATTCACGGGATAGCTTTAATTTAATCCTTTCGTTACGATAGCTCTACGCAACGGTTACGACAATCGATTATCGATAACTTTTTCTTCGAAAAATCTCTCCGCACATTAATTGAGAATTTAACAAAACTAGAATTTGTTCGTTATCGAGCGAACGAAGACTAACACCGTAGCGTTGCGTCGGGATAATCTCGTGCTCGGAACTTTCAGGAACACTATACTCGTTACGGTATTTAGTCTTCTATTCGAATTAACTTCGCGAGCATATTCAGCTAACTTGTTTACCAGAAATTGAAATTCGCGGCACAGCGTTTGCCCGTGAATCTTAATTATTATATTACTTTGTCTTAATTATATCCTTCGGGCATTGTTCGCCGAGTAATAATAATCAACCGTTTTACAGCGTTTTAATGATTGTCAAACTACCTAACAGACGCAAACGATTGCGAGATGCTCTTTACGTGCGTTGTATAAAAAGAGTGAAAAGTTCATTCGCTCGTTTCTGTCGCGATTTATGTTTAAACGACGGCATCGATTCGATGAAACGATGCAGAAAGGTTAAAGGAGCGAATTGCGTAATAATTAATATCGTAATAACAAAACAATTTCCTCTCCAAAGTGGCATGCGTTTATTATAACATATAATATCATATACGAAACATTGTTATGTACACAGAATACATGTAGAAGATAAAACGATGGAGGTACTAGCGGTAAATGAGGGAGATCGTGGCGCGGTCGGTTTAAAAAATGGCAGGCATCGGCGGAGATCAGTCGAGGATGTCGTTGGGGATGGAGGTCCAGCACGGGGTGAATTACCAGTGTCCGTCCGCGCGAACGATACCACCGACTCCGGCTGGTCCAGCCGCTATACTACCGGATGGTCCAGCAATGAGCGCCGGGGCGGTGATGGGTCCAGCTAGAGCCGCAGCAGGTGACACTGGACCGGACAATACCGCTCCTAAAAGTATATCGCGTTTAATCGATTTAAAATTGCTCGATTTCTATCCGGCAGGAATTTATCGATGAGACGCGTTCGACAAATTAGAAACGGTCGTTTCTGTCCGGTGATAAATAACGCAAGGCGGCCAAGGCGATTGCGACAAAGTTCGATCAAAGTGACTCGGCGACTAGATAACGAGCCGTTCGCGCAACGTCCGTTTATCCGTGGTTAGCATCCTGGCGTACCTCTGTATCGACGAACAACGACTTGACCGACGGAATTCGTAGGACAGCTTACCCCAAGGTGGCAGAACGGCGGGAGCAGCGAGGGCAGGCCAGCCTCCGTGCCCAGCGACGCTGCCGGAAACGATCGAAGGGCCAGCGACGGCTCCGGTGACCACGGCTCCGCCATCGACGGCTCCGGAAAGACGAGCTGGGCCAACTACCGGTCCGGCAAGGGCCGACGGTCCTAGGATGGGTCCGCTAAGGGCAGCAGGACCCAAGATCGGTCCAGCGAGAGCAGCACCGGGTGCCAATAGACCGGAGGGCGCCGCTGCCACCACCGAGACGACTGCCGCGAGGAAGACCGCTACCAGGGTGCACATGGTTGAAAGTCGAAGAGGGGTTCGATTTGCCGGTGAACTGTGTCGGAAGCGTTGCTTCGATGACTGGAGTGCTGGATGTGCTGACATCGAGCTGGCTCGAAGGTGCTTTTATAGGGGCATTGTCTACGCTGTCGGGTCTATTGCTCCCGCCAACCCCAAGGGCGGGGCACAGGACACGCCAAACATTCTCTGCGGACTAGACGCGTGGCTGTGGTTGTATCTTGGCTTATCAGCATTACGGCGACACACGAGTCGCGCTTAACGCCTCGCAGCCCACCCGTGCCTAACAGCTCGCCTGCTCCGATTCAGATCCGCGTTGCATCCGTTTCACCGATCCGTTTTTTAACGTCGACACCCAACCTTGTGTCGCGCTACGCGATTCGAGAGATAAACAATCGTTACGCCAGGTATTTGTCTCCTAATGGAATTCAGGGTTGACTGGACGATCGATAAACCGTCTTGACACCAGGGTGAAGTCGAACGAGACAAAGTGCGATAGAGCTAACCTAAACCGATTCGAAGACGGTCGGATGGTCAGCTGGAAGATACCTGTCATCGCGACCTTCGCGATCGTCTCTTTCCTTTCCCGTTCGTTCGTCGGACAGAGGGAGAGGGAGAGAGAGAGAGACGACGACGAATTAGTTGAACGCGTCGACAATATCGTTCGTTACGCGTTTACATTGTACATCCGTTTAGGCGAGGCACGGGTTGCGTAGCCCACGCGTCGTCCATTGCTCACAATTGTCGCCTGGAATGACGGCCTCATTGTGATCGACGAGTGTGTTACGGTGGCAGCAGCCTAGCTATGGATTATCGGCCATGCCACGGATCGTTTGGAATATCATTGTTGGGCGTTGCGTGCACTTTCGAAGGTGCAAAGGTGACCGGCGCGGCGCGTACGCGACGATCGTGTAATTGTCCCTCGGTGTTTCTACCACGAATGCTCGCTCGCGAACGCCGATTCTTAACGGCACGCCTCCTTTACGAGATCACCAAACACTCGGAAACTTGCTGCTCTCGTGTTTGCAAAAATTCCATTACCCTTCTACTATAACGCGCGTTTCAAATTCCTCGTTCGGTCTTTCCGCTTTTCGTTCGTTTTTCGAACAGATTGCTCGTTGTTGCAAAGTTACTTCCGCAAGAGGCGGAAAATACGCGATCGAATTACCGCGGTTAACGATAAACGTTATACGATCATTGGACAACGAATCCACGCGATTCGCGTTTTTTAAACGGCTATGGTAATCCTCTTATATCCCGTTTCCGGCTTTGTAACGTTCAGCGTTATATCAACGACGAAAATGAACACTAGCGATTCGAATATATCGACGAACCCGTCACGCGTCTGTCAACGATTCGGTATACATTTCTGTTTTTATCGACGAGTTCCGATTGACGCCTGTAGCCTCCAGTAACGATCGGTTCTTGTTGTAAATCAAATATCTGTCAAATATTCAGATAATAAATCACCTTATTAATTCGAATCCTCGGTTTTAAAGGAAACGCATATTTCCTTTTGTTCGTATAAACGATCAGGATTCAACATTTTTTTTATAATTAACAACGAACGTAACGGGTATTTATTTTGAACGGATCGTTGAATACGTAGCACGAGAGTTTCGCGCGAATCCCTACAGAATGGCGTATTAAATTCTATATGATATCGTACGTTGAATAGCGTAACGGTAAAATGAATGAAAAATGGTGAAATCGACAAGATCGTGAATCTGAAAAGATGACGAGATGAAATAAAGACGAGCAGTCGCGTTAAATGGCCGTAGAAATTGATAGAATGGAAAAATTCGATGCGCGATACGACGCGACGGCAAAAGCTTCGTGACATTTTTATTTTCTCGATGGGTGTGGTATCGGTGTGTCCAATTCGCTCCAACATTGCGTCATGCAGTTGACACCTTTTTACGCGAACGATCGAGCTTTTTCCACCCCGGCGTCACGGTCGAGCAGATCGTTGAATCAGCCCCGCCCTTACCCCCGATAAGTTCACCGACCCACGTGTCCGCGTATGCCTACTATAAAAGCTCACTTAGCATCAGTTTGTACGGCAATGTTCCTCCGTGATACCCGATGGAAAGTCGTAGCTCGGAATCTCGGTGTCCTCTATAGGCACGCGTCATGGCTATCGATCGATCGGTCGAAGGAAGAAACGATCCAGAATCGTTTTTAACCCTATCTCGATATGGATGGATCACGAACACGGACGATGACCAATCGGTTACGACGTTACTCTAGGTAAGCAGAATTAAAGATGACGTTTAGTAATCCGTACTAAACCTATATTTATAATACTAGAAATATCGAATGATACACGATCGACGTAATTATGTAAATAACCGGTTGTGTAATTTCGTCAGTGTATTTCCGCGATTTTGCAAAGATTCGTTGACTACTTAAACGGATCTATCGTAACGAAATTCCAAGAACACACTTGCAAAATACGGTCGAGTTCCGTCGATAGCGGTCGATCGCCGTAGCGCACGATCAGAGTTATGCTAGTCGAAACGAGTTGCCAGAGACGTCTAAAATCGGTCGCGTTCTCAAACTAGCCGACAATCGAGGAATTAGACTAGGACGTGTACAAAGCGTCCGCGTTTCGCAGTTTCTGCGGTGCTTTGGGTACAGAGAAGCCGAAGTATGAAGCGTGCTGGGCAGCTCGCGACGCGAATAACGATCGAGCCGAATACCGAGCAGATTCATCCCCTCTCGTTTCTGAACATCGTCTCGGACCCGGGAACCTGGCCTTGCCTGCAATACAAATATCCTGGTTCCCCCTGAAAAATACCAGCTTATTTTTCCTCTTCCCATCGATCTTAGCGAATCGTGTCAACGTTTACGCGTCTACCCACGTTCGACTCGTATGTACTTGTTCTCGCGAAACTACATTGGATTGTTGATTTTTGTATTTCTCAGGCGATTCCCGGGTCATCGTCGACGTCACGTTACCAGAAGCCCATCGAAGGATCCATCGATCGAGATTCCTTGATCTCCGGCAACTCGTGAGACGTTAACGATCCAACCAGAACCGTATCTACCTCGTTATCGACCACACCTTTCGTCATTCTTGCCTCCAATGGCGCACGGGTCCGCGAGGAACGCGAAAACGGTCGAACAATCTAACCTTCTTGTTTTACGTCCGGCTGAGATCTGACTCGTGGAATGTCCACGGTAGCGAACGATCTGTCCGCTGGTAATTCGAATCCGAATCCGAATTTATTTACCTATCTTGCTCTTTTATCTTGGCTCGAGACTTCGCTTCCACTTTTCGCTATTAGAATTATCTAAACAACGATATAACCTAAAACTCGTTTTCAACTGCATGTTTTACGCGAAGAAAGTCCGAAATTAAGGATAGTCGAGTTAGATAATTCTCTTAACGAAGAATCTTTAATCGTGAATTACATTACAAAACCGATAGAAAATGGTAACGAAAATTAATCATTGCAATTTCAAGTGTCAATAATAAACGCGTTACATTTTCTTCGTAATTTGACAGTGTGTTACCAATTATGGTCATATAACTCTTTTTCTGTGGTAAAGTTGTTCGTTACTTTACTAAAAAGACTAGCTATGGAATGAAAATCTGAAATTTCCAAAAAAGTCAAAAGAGCACACTTGATTGTACTGTCGTATCTTGTTGTACTTTTAGAAAATAAAATATTTTTCTTGCTCAAACATTGTCATGTCGCATATTTATGTATTCCTTTTGTCTCGTGGACGGTCTGCTGATCTTTTACGATTCGTGAACCTTCGATGCATTGCCATGATCGCTAACGAAGAACTATGAGTTTCCCATAAAGGTAATATCTCGTCCTTTGGTACTCTCGTTTCGATATTGGTCTTACTACTCTGGCAAGGCACGAAATTCTCGACGATTCCGACAATAAATCTTACGAACAAACTGCTATTGCCGGTTGCACGGTGTAACTCTCACGATCGCGGGAATGTCGTGACGAGTCGTTTGCTTACCCGTCGTTGCTGCAACCTTTTTAATCGGATTTTAAACATAGTCCTAACCTAATCGAGAAAAGCACGATTTTCGACCTTTACACTTAATTCTTAACTGATTTTTACTTTATTTTTCAAACGTTAAACTGTTATTTTAGATATATTTCTTGTTCGCTGCGTACAGTGGATTTTTGTAACATTGTCACTTTAGTAAAGACTTCCAAGCATATCGTTAACGGATTAAACGTTATATCGCGACGCGTTGTACAGCCACGAAATCTCTGGTACGTATCGTGATGACCTTAAAGAACCACGCGGTAATTGTCGCGTTACAGATCCGGTGATAAACCGTGCGTTCGCGTACACCGAAAGATAACGCGGACAATCTCGTGATCTCCACTGTGACCTTCTATAAATTATGTCCGCGATGTTGGCTAACACTGGTGTTATTCAAATAGGCATGATTGGAACACCTGTGCTCGATCACCAAAAAAATAAAACTCGATTCTTAACCCCAATTTGGTATCGATACTTTGATTCGATTTTCATTTCTAATTCTTTGCCATTGGATTAATCTAATTCTTTGACCTTTTCGCTTAAATTTCAAACATTTTATTTATCCAAGTAATCAAATTTGTCAATGCATACTTAAGTAGTATATTCTAACATTTCAAACGATCAAGATAATTTGTACGATATTCGAAACAGTTCAATTTCCTTATTTCTTCACTGTTTGACCGAAGCAAAGTAATCGATACGACGGAAAATCTGCTTGCGAGGTCTCCGCCTATTTAACGATCGTGATTACTTAAACAAAGGTACGAGGGTCCACGATCAATTAGGAATCGATCTGATCATGCCAATTGTCGCGATTATTCAGGATTGATGGACCGTATCGTAGTTCACGCTTCCAACAACCTTACCCTTTTATGCGGCCGACCACAAATCGCTGCAGAGTGTCTAGTTTCGTATTTGCTATTCAAAAGTGACCTCCTGTTCCTTGTTCGCGTAATTGTCGCCCCGTGTAACCAGAATCGAACGTTTCTACGATCTACCAAAGCTATTTTACGGTCAGATCCTGGATCGATCGTGCGAGACGGAATACGTTTCGAACCGAAACACGCTCGATCGACGGACACTCGAGTATAAAAAAACTAAATTTTTCTGAAAAATGCGCCGAGAATAAACCTTGAATAAATTTAACGGGTAAACGACCATTTTTGATGGAATTAATTTTGAAAAAAAAAAAAAAAAAAACACTTAAGTTCCTAAGTATGGAGCTACGAGGATATTTTCCGTTTGTTCGGCGTTAACGAGGCTACCGCGCTGGTATAACATTTTCAAAGTAGAAAATTTTGTGATCTCGTGGAACGGGTACAGTTTGTTTGAAAGGTATTTTCACGAAAGACTGCATTATACGGTAACACATAATAATGACTTTGTAATCACTTTGTAGCTCGGTGAAAATGGAACGTTTAACGAAGTTAAAGCGAACCAACAAACGTCAGGTCGCTTTGCCATAGCACGCGAAGTGTGGGTAATTCGATTAAACGATCAACGCACATGGTACTTCGTGAGTTATCGACGTAATGGTCTGTAATTAAATCATGTCCTTGTATTATCGTAAGAGATCATAATTTACATTGTATTATAAATAGAGGATCATCTAAGATGGCTGGGTTACAAACTACCTATAAAAGGTATTTAAATGGTGAATAGAAAAAAAGAAAGAAAAAAACAGTGTCGTTGTCGTGTCATGAAATGCATCGTAAAAGGGGACCGTCGTGTGTCATCTCGAAGATTCGTAGTCGTATAACGCTACTTTCACTGATAGTTCACGCAATAATTCGTCGTGAATGTTATCGAGAGACGTTGATAGTTTCTTTCTTCCTTTTAACAGTTTTGGTCCGTTACCAATGGCCGTGACCAGTGTGAATACCACCATAGCCAGTTCCATGGGCAGTGATCTTCCCAGAGGGACCAGCGATCACTACTGAACCGGCATTTGGACCGGAAACCGCAGCGTTTCCCGAATGGGGACCAGAAAGGACAGCACCGTGGGACGCTGGTCCTGCTATTACCACCCCGTGTCCACCGTGTCCTGCGTATCCACCGTGTCCTGCGTATCCACCGTATCCTGCGTGTCCACCGAATCCTGGATATCCTGCGTAGCTGTATGCCGGAGCAACGTATCCTGCAAATTAAAGGTTTATCGCTCATTTTTTCATCGGTCTTTAGAGGAAACGGAAAATTGTTATATTACGACAAAGGAGCGTGAGATGACTTTTCGTTTTAGAAACAATTGAATTTGAAAATTCTTCGACACATTTATAGGCACACGCGTTTATGACAAAAGAAACAACGTTCTTACAAAGTCGAATACTTTGTTGCACATTTTTTCGTTAAACGCGATAACAGAAACGTTGTTTTCTTTCTTAGCGCAAAATACATTGACTTACCAACGCCTCCTCCGTAGGGTCCGTCGTAACCTTGAACGTGAGCAGGACCAGCAACGGAAGCCGTTACGACGGCGGAACCGGCAACTGCACCGGAAACCTGCACCGGCCCAGAAACGGATCCAGAAAGTTTCGCTGGTCCGATCGACGGCGCAGCCACCAACGTCGATCCCACGTGAGGACCCGCGACGCTAGTCGGACCCAAAGCTGGACCAGCAAGGGCCACACCGTGGCCGTAGCCTAGATGACCTCCATAGTGTCCTCCGTGGTAACCGCCCCAAATGGCCTCGCGACGTTGTCGGGGTGCTGCTGCGACGAGCGCGCATAAGGCTGCTATCAGCTGAAAATCGCCACGCGTGAGTGTTCAATTTTCTGTTTTCGCATTTATGGAATGTAAGCGGTGTCCGATTCATTCGGTCGAAACATTCGTATCGGTAGAAATTGTCACGGTATTACATATTCGCTTCGTAAGATGCAAAACACTTTATTATCTTGTTAATTTTCACTCGAAGAAGGTTCTATCGCAGGTTTCGAAGCGACGATAAATAGTAGAGCATTGAACGGAAACTGCGAACGTTCTCGAGAACTGTCTCCGAGACACCCTCGTGGAAAAGTATAAAATATATGCGTGGCACTCGAAGCGGTCGGAACGTGTTCGGTCGCGGCGCGTAAAAAAATCCATCAGTCGATGTTCGCCAGACCGTGGGATCGAATACTTACGAAGACCTTCATCTTGCCGACCGCCGATTGCTGAATGTGCCTACGGACGACTCTCTCGGACTTTATATACTTCTCCAGGAACACGACCGCGCCCCCGGTGATCCCTTCAAATCATATCCGTTGATGGTGTAGCTTCAGCCATTGCGCAAGAAGGTCACCATCCGACACACCTACCCTCGAGACACCGGCTCCCTTAACTGACCTTCAACACGAATCGTTGGGAAAGAGTGGCGACATAACGCGTTTAGATAGAATTCTCTTTAGATTCTATATTCGAGATGATTCCGATTCGCGAGAAATCAAGTTGTCGTCTACCGACTAATAACGTAGAATGAACCTCGATGTCCGATCGATCGAGGAGAAATCGTTGAAACCCCGTTTCAATTGGTTCGCGTTTGATGGATAAAATCGTATTCCCGTCACGAGTTCGATTTATTCGAAGGAAGTTCGGTAACGAGAGAGCATCTTTCGCCTGGTGGAACTTTTTCGAGTCGCAAAGGATGTCGAGTACCTTTTGTTCGTGGACTCGAGTTCGATCGTTTCGTTGCACATGGAATTGGGAAACGAGTTTCTCTCGTGAAAACGTTCGTGGAAAGCTCTACAGGGTGTTACAATCTCTTTTGGCGATTCGTAACGTCTGCACAAGTTGCTCGACCGATGAAACAGTCGGTTCGTTAAAGAACTCGGTAAGAATGGAATTCTTTTGTGGTAGAAAGACACGGATAAAGTTCATAGGACATAGGAGGGTATGTCAGGACGGTAGAGGAATGGTGGCGGTCGCCGTGGCGCGCCGCGTCGCATCGAAGTGGACGAAACGTTCGTTCGGAACAAAGGAATCGATTACGCGAACGCAAAAGCGGCGTAATTAGCGTAATTTGCGATTTCTCTGGCGATAAAGGGGACTTATAACGAGTTACCGGTCGCAGGCGTGATCTTCTACCTACGATATAATTGGCCTGCATGGTTTCAACGCATCGACATTATTCATCGTGATTACCGACTTATTGCGTCAAGTGTCTTGCGTGATTCTTTCGACTCTTGTTTTACCGCAGCTTCTTTTCTTGCCGGAGTTGATTGTCTCGTGGATGACTAATGGCTAAAAAATTTAAATTCTTCTCTTTAATTCGTGGACCTATTCGTGATCGCTGATCGGTGTCTCTCGTAAAGACGTTCGATATTTTCTTCGAAAATATTTCTACGCCTAATTAAACTGCTTAACGACTGTTAGTTGTTCCAGCTATCGAAAAATCGTGGGCGGCGAACCGCGTCATCCTCGCGAACGAGTGAAGCAACCGATCTCTTAGTTGCACCGAGTCTAACATTACCGCTGGGAAAGAGTCACGTTCTCAGGGATTAATACGGTTTTCTTTCCTATGTACCGGCTGCGGACGAAGCTGCGGGCGTGAGCGTGCCGAACGTGACCTTTATTCCTAGTAGTCGCAAGGAAAAGACGCGATTCATGCTGCTCCAATTATCTTGCGACGCGACGATCGATCCTCGTATATCTTCGAATCGTGTACGTCCCTGTCAACGCTTATTACCGATTCACGAATGTTCGTCTAAATGCCGACGACATTTTCGATTATCCTTTAATCATGTCCGAAGTTTATTCGACGATATTACCGAGTGAAGAATTTTTCAGAATGTAATTGTAACGTTCGAAGCGAATAAAAATTTCTCGAATTTCCTAACAATTGCAACGAGAAACGAATAAGATTATCTTCCGCTTGACCCGCTAATTTAAAAACGGTTCAATTAATGATAGAATAGCAACGTGACAAAACGTAACGAGTAGCGGGAGCATTCGACTCGATTTCTAGCGCGTTATGGTTATAGCGTAATTCGAATTCGCGATCCTATAGGTGATTTTGTCGTTCGAGGGATATATAAAATATCGTTGTAAAATTCGTAAACGATAACGTTGGCAGGGGAACGGCCGCCCTGGAGAGATTGCACGTGATCAATGCTAATGGTGAGACTGACATTTACAGTCATTGTCTGCAATGCATCGAGGATTCTTATGGGAGCAGACTAGCCTACCGATTGCTTCGGGCCGAACTAATTCGTTTAACAATTTCGAATTTCTTTCGAGGGAATGTTCTATATCGTAATTGAAAGAAAGGGTTCGTTGGTCCGGCTGTTTCAACTTTTTGCCTTGTACAATACGATCTATCGCAAAAATGTCCTCTTATTATCGATAATCTTAATAATGGATATACCGTCGATTTCCGTTCGGAAGAAAAATACTCGAGTAATCGATAACGATACACAGTAGGTTTCTTTCGATAGTCTCCTAATTCGCATCGATACATAAAAACAGTACCGTTTCCGTACGGCAAATCGCTGTTGTACAAACGACTCGGTTGACCGTAAAGGAGAAACGTAACCGGTAGTCGAGCGGGACACTAAATTATGCATGAATACGGGTATATCCTACGGTTAGAACGATAGTCTTCGACACGGCAGATGGACGAGCTATCGTATTCTATCGAAACGTTTCGTTTACTGCGAACACTGCATAAATCCCCGATTTTATCGTCTTCTATATTGACCATTAATCGTTCAATTCGATTTAATCTAGGAACTAACTAAATAGTTTGGTAGCATGAAATTGGTGCAAGAAAAGGTGTAGCATCGGAGTGGTCGATAAAGGAAAATCGACGCAAAATCTGTAGTCGTCTCGAAGCGTTAATCCGTGAAAGCAGAGTTCGACGTGGAGTGCAATCGAGAGGCGAGCACTCGAGATGAGCACGAGCGAGAAGCGGAATCGGCCTGTACCGTTCGATAAAAGCGCGGTATCGGTCTCTTTGCTGGCGAAATGACCTTGGCCGCAAACAGCTGGCGCAGCACGCCTGCTAAGCAGATTCTTCTGGGAACTCGCTTAGCGATCGCACACCCCCGACAGTGAAAGGACCACGCCTGCTCCACTCCGCGCTAGCTTGACCCGTTCGATCCGCTCGACGATCCGCTCGACGATCCGCTCGACGATCCGCGCCACTTCTTCGTTCGTCTTCGATTCCCTTCCATTACGAAATCGTCTCTTTCCTTCCTTTCTGACGCCCTCGCGTTTCATTTATAGCATATTGTTGCCTGATTAAGTTTTTGGGAGAATGACTCCTCTCTTCGTTAAGTAAAATCTTGTCAATGGGACGCAAGGTTCTCGAGTACCATGGTAGAGAAGAATTATGTTCCGTCAAAGTTAAATATAGTATAGTTGCCTTACTTCAAAGTAGATAGCGAGGTAAATATTCGATAAAAGGACGAGAAAAGCATTGGTTACGTTCTTCTTGAGACGTTGATTAAAATATCTGTATACGATTAAAACGACAGAAAAACTGGAAAATCTACAAATGTCTGACGTGAAATTTGTCGTTGTAAAATGTCTACAAGTATAAGTTGATTCCGACGAATGGAGAGCGAATTGTATCGAAGAAGCGAAAATGCGCTGGCATCTCTAGTAGAGAAGATTCGGTCGCGGAACGCGGTGAATCGCTGAAAGTGGCTCGTAACGCAGACGCGTAAGAGGGAGTGTCTGCAGCGCGTACTTAAATGGCTGCTTTAAGAGATGATTCAGTTGGATTCGTTAAAAGCGTGTCTTTTCGCCGCTTTCCTTTCATCTGTACCGAAGAATTAGCTCAACGAGATTACATCTTTTAACGCGTTGATTGTCGCCGAGCCGCGAAAACGATGTCTAGCAAAACCCGTTAAAATTCCCGCTACCTGATTACCATCTTACGATGTTATGTTCACGCGTTGTATAATTACGCGCTTTATGTCGCTACGCAATATACAAAATGTTTTTAATCTGCCGGTAGAATGAAAAAGGGAGTAATATTACGCGAAACAACAGAACGTAAATATAAAATAAAGTTTTTTCATGCGTGGTTTTTGTATCGAATAAGCTGTATTTAAAATTTGTCAAAAATATTCGATGTATAAATAAATCGACACGAATTTTGTAGAAAACAAAGCCAAAGACACACAATTTTCGAGCAGTACTATTTATCCGTTTTTCAATTGCACCACGGGATCGGAATAAGCGTGTATGAACAAATGATAAAATGTCCAGTTTCGAATAGTTCTTTCGTCGAAGCGCTTCCGTGCTCGTGATACAGTGAATTTAACAAACGGTCGCTTCTGAAAGAGCTTCGACGACTGACAAAAACAAGTAGAAAGTATGATGTTCGAGCTTGCGTTTCTACATATGCTTCGCGTCTTAAGGTAGATCTCGTCGGATTAGGACGCACTCGATGGCTTTTATTTTATTCGCGATCAGTCGAAGGGTAGAAAAGTCCTGAATCATCGAATCTGCTGGTACTCGTGAACCTGGAAGAGATTTAAAGCCCTTTTAGCGACGGTTAAAGCCGTATTTGCGGCAAAGACCGCTCGAAAAGTTCGAACCTCTTTTCCGTGTAGAATAGGATGGGTCAGCAACGAACCGTCAACTTCTCGTTCGATCAGAATCCACCACATAACCGTTGATCTTCGGCTCGAATTTCACGACTCTCTTCGATTCCACGAAAATATCGGTCCTTCGTATTTCTTTTAAAAATATGTTTCTCGCCCGTTTATTAACAACTTCGACAAATATTGTAGAATAATAGTTCGATCTTCACGCGCAATTACCGAATTTTCTCAATTATGGGTGTACATACGTTTTCGAAAATTGTTCAAAACATATTTTAATTTAACGCTCCAATTCCATTCCATTGAACCTAGGTGAAGAAATTACGAGTGAAATTACTGGATGTCTGGCGCGAAATGAACGCTCGGAACAATCGAAAGGATCTCACCACGATGTTGTATCATCCTCCTAGCTTGGATATCGTGTCACAAAGCGTGCCTGTTCCCTTCTGTTACCCTAACGATCCGTTCACGGTCTTCTAAAGCAACGACCAGCTTCCTCTGTAATCATCGATGATCCAATTACCATTTTCGAAGTATCGTGGCGTCAGAAAGAGAATCATCGTTGCTTAAAATTACCTTTGTTCCTGTGCTCTACGATGTAACATCGTAGATTCGAGCATTTCGTCATCGACAGAATAATTTTACGAATACCATCAATTATCGACGAACTCGTCGATTAAGATTTATCGTAAATGTACTGCTTTTGTAGAATTCGAGGTTCGTGCGTCGACTATAATCCTCCATTACCGAGCAATTACACGTATTAACTGAAACAGAAAAAAGGATTTAGTTTCATTTGTTCGAAGTACATACATGTATGTCAACTTGTGTCTTTCTCAACTTTTTTCGATTACATACAATACTTTTACACAGCTCTGGTCGTGGCAATCTTCGGTATCTCGTGTTCCTATCGATTCATGTATCTTATTGCGATGTATCGTGAGAACGGTAGAAGACTTACTGTTTCGAACGTTGATTAACATTCATGATTATGTATTCGGCTGGCTTAAATTGGGAAGAATAGTGTCTTTTATAATTTGAACTTTTTAATCAAAATACATATTTCATAAGTGAAAGGTAGGATAGGATGAAACGGTTAGCCACTTCGTCTCGACCAAATTATCTCCCATGAATTATTAATAATCCTGCCTTATTTCGTGGCAGTTGCTCGACAGCGATTAATGTAACTTTCGTCTGCACTGCTCTCCTTTACCTCGTTATCTTTATTCCATCTTTCTTGATGTCTCTGTTAACCTTTGCCGATTTCATTCGACGCCACGCAATCTTGAACGACGATATCCCCCTGAACGAATAATTTCAAACTATCGAGACTATAAAGCGTTCGTTAAGTATCTTAAAAGATTGCTAAATAGTTGAGATATTAAAGCGGGAAATCGATACTTAATAGTTCGTGAAATTCTCTAACGTATTTTTCGAAATTATTATTGTTATTTCGAGTTATGTTTCTATTCCGGTATACGTTCCGATTAATCCTCGTGCGAGCAACGCGACTAATCCCCGAACTTTCGATATCGAGAGAATCGGTGGACATCGTTGATAGGAAACATAGAAATGCTTACTAGAGAATGAAGCGGAGTTTTTGTATTGAAAATGTTTATTTCGAAAACGTGAGTCGATACAAAATTGTCCAAATAATGGAGATCCAGATATCTCTGTTCGAAAATCGCGCTCGCATGGTTTTCCAGCTAGTGGTCGCATACATCTGAAAGTTACAACGTTGCGTTTATTTGGAAATATCGAGAATCGATAAGTGTCAATGTATCTTGTAATTGTATTCGGTCGCTCGCGCAAGGGTTAAGGGTCGACGCAATGAAATAATCAAAGATGAGTTTTAAATACTGATGCTTTATTTTATATAAAGTATTGTATAAATGTATAAACGCTATAAATATGTGGTATCTATCTATGGTGGTGGTGGGGTGCTAGATCGTAGATTCGAGCATTTCGTCATCGACAGAATAATTTTACGAATACCATCAATTATCGACGAACTCGTCGATTAAGATTTATCGTAAATGTACTGCTTTTGTAGAATTCGAGGTTCGTGCGTCGACTATAATCCTCCATTACCGAGCAATTACACGTATTAACTGAAACAGAAAAAAGGATTTAGTTTCATTTGTTCGAAGTACATACATGTATGTCAACTTGTGTCTTTCTCAACTTTTTTCGATTACATACAATACTTTTACACAGCTCTGGTCGTGGCAATCTTCGGTATCTCGTGTTCCTATCGATTCATGTATCTTATTGCGATGTATCGTGAGAACGGTAGAAGACTTACTGTTTCGAACGTTGATTAACATTCATGATTATGTATTCGGCTGGCTTAAATTGGGAAGAATAGTGTCTTTTATAATTTGAACTTTTTAATCAAAATACATATTTCATAAGTGAAAGGTAGGATAGGATGAAACGGTTAGCCACTTCGTCTCGACCAAATTATCTCCCATGAATTATTAATAATCCTGCCTTATTTCGTGGCAGTTGCTCGACAGCGATTAATGTAACTTTCGTCTGCACTGCTCTCCTTTACCTCGTTATCTTTATTCCATCTTTCTTGATGTCTCTGTTAACCTTTGCCGATTTCATTCGACGCCACGCAATCTTGAACGACGATATCCCCCTGAACGAATAATTTCAAACTATCGAGACTATAAAGCGTTCGTTAAGTATCTTAAAAGATTGCTAAATAGTTGAGATATTAAAGCGGGAAATCGATACTTAATAGTTCGTGAAATTCTCTAACGTATTTTTCGAAATTATTATTGTTATTTCGAGTTATGTTTCTATTCCGGTATACGTTCCGATTAATCCTCGTGCGAGCAACGCGACTAATCCCCGAACTTTCGATATCGAGAGAATCGGTGGACATCGTTGATAGGAAACATAGAAATGCTTACTAGAGAATGAAGCGGAGTTTTTGTATTGAAAATGTTTATTTCGAAAACGTGAGTCGATACAAAATTGTCCAAATAATGGAGATCCAGATATCTCTGTTCGAAAATCGCGCTCGCATGGTTTTCCAGCTAGTGGTCGCATACATCTGAAAGTTACAACGTTGCGTTTATTTGGAAATATCGAGAATCGATAAGTGTCAATGTATCTTGTAATTGTATTCGGTCGCTCGCGCAAGGGTTAAGGGTCGACGCAATGAAATAATCAAAGATGAGTTTTAAATACTGATGCTTTATTTTATATAAAGTATTGTATAAATGTATAAACGCTATAAATATGTGGTATCTATCTATGGTGGTGGTGGGGTGCTAGTCGTGATCGCAAAGAAAGGGTATGACGAGGGCGGGCGGGGTCGGGGGCCGGCAGCGGCGCGCCATCTATTTACATTCATTCACTCACGGGAAGGGCTGACCTACCATAATCTACCGGTCTCTCTCTTTCGCTAACATATAACACGATTATATAATATATGTGTAATGTGTGTATATATACGAGTACACATATAGCAATAGTGTGTGTGTGTGCGCGCGTGTGGCAATGCGTTCATGTATATATTTATATATATACGCGAAGGAAGTAATAGTAATAGTATGTATACATGTATATATATATATGTATATATGCGTTATTATACATACATACATATATGTATATATAAAGAGAACATATATATGCGCATGGACGAGTAATGTAAATAATAATATGTATGCTTGAGAGTGCGGCAGTGAGTATAACAACTTGTGAGAGCGCCGACGCGACCGGTGAAGGATCGCGGCAACGTTCTCATCGGAAGAGAGAAAGGAAGTAAAAAAAAAAAGAGAGAGAGTAGTAAATATACGTGTGTGTGAAGAACGGCGGCCTTACGATTGATGGAAGACGTAAGAGAGAATAAAAAAAAAAATAAAAAAGAGTGCTGCCGGAGCAACGGTGGGTGTTCAGAAAACAGAACAGACCCAGTTGGTCCAACGACGAAGCGCCAAAGCTTGTCCACTTTGGGTCCATGGCGGAGCGGCCGGGTCCAACGTGTTTCCGTTGTACGTTCTTTTAAATATCGTTGTTCGTTTGGCGCGATTCAGGGTCGTTCGTGCGACGAAAGCATCGACGGATGAACCGATTGCCGATCGTTTCGCCGGGCTTGTCGACGCGACAGATCGCGACGGTGGATGTCCTTTTGTCGCACGGAACTGTTCAGCCGTGGTTGGCAATCGCGGCTTCGCTCGACTTCCTCTGTCGCGGTTAAAGTTGATGAATGGAAATTGACTAAATTTTACCCGTGCCTCGACGAGCGGTTTCGTCGACAGAGGGAGAGAACGAGACGAAATCGCGGATCACGAATGCCCGGGTCCACGGTGTACACTTCCCGGAGATCTAAGTCCGCGAACAGGGCAGGCCCAACGATACCAACGATGGCTTCCGTCTCGCGCTTCATCTGTGTCTCGATATATACCGACTGGATTTGTGATTAATATTCCGACTATATACCGACTACACCACTAACGCCGGCATTTTTCACCATATTCCCAGATTGGACGAAGCTTTGGGAAGAAGATCGTTGAGCGCGTTTGAGGATCGTTCGAGACCGGTAAGTGACTGTGGTGGGTTTGCCGCCGTCGCCGAGCCGAGATCGCTGGGGCCTTAGAACGTCTAGTACTTGCCGAGTGCCCCGGGGATGATAGCTCCGTGGGAGCCGAGTCCGGCGTGGATGGCGCCAGACGGTCCGTTGATCACAGCAACACCACCGTCGTGTCCGCCGATGCCACCAGCGATTCCGGCACCACCTCCCACAACAGCGATGGCACCTGTAACGTATCGACAACAACGATTAATCGTTCGCTTTCGTTCGTCGTCTATATTTTTTTCTCGTCTTTTCTCGCATTTTTGCTCGTAAGACGCATCGACGAATACGGACCAGCACCGCTAAGACCGGCAAGACCAGATGGCGCAGCGGCAGCAGCAGAGCCAGAGCTTCCGTCGTCACCGTTGATGTTACCGCTTCCAGCGTAGAAAGCGACACCACCGTAGGACGGTCCCACCAAGTTAGCGCGACCCTGAGATCCTCCTACGAGGGTGGAGGTTCCAGCGGAGGCACCTACAGCGGTGAATGGACCAGTGGCGGGACCAACGAGACCAGCTGGGCCGGTACGTGGTCCACCTACGTTCTTGGCACCTTCTTGGGGTCCGACGATGTCAGAGGGTCCGGTTTGGGGTCCTACGTTGGCCTTGGGTCCTTCGGCGGGTCCAATGTCAGCCCTGCCTCCGATCACTCCTGCACGGGGGGAACAAACGAAATTCCGAATGATCGAATCGTCTTTCGAATCGATCGTGATCCGCCACTTGGAA